TGCTTGTCAGACTCTGAGAGGCTGACATCCTATGACAAGCCATGCCAGTGCTCCTAGTGGAACTTACCTTTAGTATACACCCAGGAATGAATGCCCTGAATGCAGACCACCTTCAATCCAGGCATTCATTCCTAGGCACTCCCTGTCCTAAAGGTAAGTACCACCAGGTGCACTGGCCAGGCTTGTCCAGCCTAAGTTGTCAGCCTCTCAGAGTTTGACAAGCTGCCAGTAGCAGGGCTGGATGGTGTCCCTGTGCCCACTGCTGCCACCTAAATGGCGAACTGGGGCTAAACACCCGGTGTACATGGGGTCTAAGAGGTGGTGATATGATCGCAATGTATCAATGGTGATTGTAGTATTGGCAGGAAAGTATTTAATGAAAGGTCTCTAAAGGAGTTGACATGAAGCCGTTCATAGTGGCCACACACGCTTCCATTTTATTGGCCGATTGTTGTGCGGTTTGATCAAAATTAACCTTATAGGCTTAACTTCAAATGATTGATCATGTTGCATCGATCAGCAGCTCTAAGATGCTTTGTTCATTAATTCAATTGTATGTTGATCAATCAGATTCCGAGATTGCATGGGAAGGCAAACAATAATTTACGATCAAATCTTCCAACTGTTGTTTGACATTCACTTCCCCATGCGTGTGTTATATTGATCAAATGGGTTGTCAACTATAGATCGATTATTCCTATTGGAAGAGATCAATCTGAAGAAAAATCGATCATTTAGCGAAGCATGTACGGATATCATTTTTCTTGCTGTTGTGGTGTCCATGCACTCTTTAATAAATGATCAATTTCTACTGAAAATTATCAATTGCATTTCTGTTTTCACCATGCTGTCCCTCAAGTGGACCTATCAAGATCTGATCAAATTCATTGACAAAGCAACTCAGTGCTTCTAATTGATGCAACATGATCAATAATTTTGTGCCCTAGCTGATTGACTCAGTTTGATCGAATCTGACTTAAATTGATTGGAAGGGAAGTTATGCCTATACATTCTTCTTAAATAAATTTCACATCGATTGTACAATAAAAATCAAAGTGTCCATGGCCACCATTAGAGGGGTAAAGATGTGGAGCTTCCTTCCCCAGTTAGTGATCAGTGAAGAGTGTGCAATCTGTACATCTGTGACCCGGGGCAGCACAGTGGCTAAATGCTTAGCACTTCCGCCTGGCAGTACTGGGGTTGATGGTTCGAATTCCAACCATGGCACCATCTGCCTGGAGTTTGCACACTCTCCCTGTGCCTGCGTGGGTTTCCTCTGGGTGCTCCGATTTCCTCCCACACTACAAAGACATGCTGGTAGTTGAATTGGATTTTGTCAAAATTGTCTCTAGTATGTGTATGTATGAATGTGAGTTAGGGACCTTAGATTGTGCGCTCCTCGGGGGCGGGGACTGATGTGAATGTACAATATATATGTAAAGCGCTGTGTAAATTGACGGCGCTATATAAGTACCTGAAATAAATAAAAAATCCGCTGAATTCTTAAAAAAACCTTCCTTTCCCTGACAGTAAGGAATACAATTTATACTCACACAATACAGGAAGGGGATATATAAAACATTGAAATTCTGAAAGGCTCTGGATGGGGCTGGGTGTTACTGTGGGGGGGGATGAAGGTTCAGGAGGGGGTTAGGGGACTCTGCAGCAGACTTGATGACCCTTTAAGAGAGGATGTTTCTGTAGGAAACAGGAGGCAACTGTGGGGATGGGGTCTCTGGAAGAAGCTGGGGGCATTTGTGGGGGATGGGGTCTCTGGAGGAAGCTGGGGGCAACTGTGGGGGATGGGGTCTCTGGAGGAAGCTGGGGGCATTTGTGGGGGATGGGGTCTCTGGAGGAAGCTGTGGGCAATTGTGGGGGGTTGGGTCTCTGGAGGAAGCTGGGGGTAATTGTGTGGGAATGGGGTCTCTGGAGGAAGCTGGGGGCAATTGAGAGGGATGTGGTCTCTGGAGGTAGCTGGGGGCAGTTGTGGGGGATGGGATCTCTTGAGGGGGATGAAGATTGCTCCAATGAGGCGGGATATTTTGCAGGGGCAATGAAGAAGCTTGGATGGCATTTCATTGGCTTTAAGGTAATGTGGGAGACTCTTGAGGGCACTATGAGGGGCTTGATACAGGGATATGGCGACTGGTAGCAGCAACGCACACACACCAAACTGGACGGCCCAGATCTTTAGTCATCCTTACTAAATATGTAACTCTAGATTTTGGTACTGGAGGCAATATAAGATCTACTTTTTACTTTTCTCCTTTAACTGTGCCAACCAATAAACAAGAGAAAGTAGAGATGACTTTGTATTTCTTGAATTGTAGTGAGTCTTGTGACTTCTCACAATATCCCATCATACAATTAGCCAAAAATGTCCGGATTTTAGGAGGGAAACAAAATATTAGTAAGAGACAGTTTGTACATTTTTAAAAATGTTTGGATTGTTGTTGCCCCCATTAACCATGCCGCCCTAGGCAAACGCCCACAAGTTGCTTTTTGATAAATACAACCCACTGTGTCCCCGTATGTGTTTTCACACCATTTGTACTCTTAAATGAAGCATTTTCCTTTTGTAAGCTCACATGGAGGGTTGATGGCACAGAGACACATGGGTGCCAATTTGCAGAGAGGTTCCTGGGACTATTCAGCGTCTAGTTTTACCCTTCTCTTCTCGCAGAGACGTGAGCTGCGTGTAAGTGTTGGCCCCTCCCTCTTCCCAGGTCTGCGCTGATCCTTTACTGCTCACAATATGGGTCACCTTTTTTTTCCGCTGGTACAGGAAAGCTGCGGAAGACTCTGCCCTGCTTTTTCATCTATTTTTGAATATTTATGAGCTGCAGATTCCTTTCCTGGAGGAAACACAAAGCTGGTTGAACATCTTGTGGTCAGAGAGAGAAAAAAACCATAAAAGAGGCGATGTGGACTCCTGGGGCCCCGTGTTCAGACCTCATTATCAATAATAACTGATTGGGCCAAGGCTTCTAAATGATGCTAAATCATGACTTTTATAGGCAGTTCATGCAAAGTGATACATTGTAATAGTCCGGAATAAAGAGGAAAGCTCACATTCACATGTCCCTGTTCATATATATTTAAAGCCCAACTACGGGCACAACAAAAAAAATACCCTTCCAGTGGGGCCTCCAGAACACTGCAAGGGCTAAATGTTCATTAAAGTGATATTATTCCTTCAGTTTTTAAGCACTTTCAGCAGCTGATGTGAACCCTTACTGAGTATGCAGCTTCTTGATCTTTAATCCTTGTCTATGTTCCCGTCTCCCATCTCACTACCTGCCCCCTGGATCCTGTCCCCTCACAACTACTACAGTCACCCTCTTCCTCCATCCTATGCTTCCTCACTCACATCTTCAATCTTTCCCTCTCTACTGGTGCTTTCCCCTCCCCTCTAAAGCATGCGCACATCACTCCCATACTTAAAAAGCCCTCCCTGGACCCCACCGACCTGAACAACTTAAGACCCATCTCCCTGCTCCCGTTCACCTCTAAACTCTTAGAATGCTTAGTCTACAATCGCCTGAGCTCCTCCCTCACCGACAACAACCTTCTCGACCCTTTACAGTCTGGCTTTCGCTCACTACACTCCACTGAAACTGCCCTACTAAACGCACTAATGATCTACTAACAGCTAAAACCAATGGCCACTACTCCGTACTCATCCCAACCAATGGTCACTACTCCGTACTCATCCCAACCAACGGCCACTACTCCGTACTCATCCCAACCAATGGTCACTACTCCGTACTCATCCCAACCAATGGTCACTACTCCGTACTCATCCCAACCAATGGCCACTACTCCGTACTCATACCAACCAATGGTCACTACTCCGTACTCATCCCAACCAATGGCCACTACTCCGTACTCATCCCAACCAATGGTCACTACTCCGTACTCATCCCAACCAATGGCCACTACTCCGTACTCATCCCAACCAATGGCCACTACTCCGTACTCATCCCAACCAACGGCCACTACTCCGTACTCATCCCAACCAATGATCACTACTCCGTACTAATACCAACCAATGGTCACTACTCCGTACTCATCCCAACCAACGGTCACTACTCCGTACTCATCCCAACCAACGGCCACTACTCCGTACTCATCCCAACCAATGGTCACTACTCCGTACTCATCCCAACCAACGGTCACTACTCCGTACTCATCCCAACCAACGGCCACTACTCCGTACTCATCCCAACCAATGGTCACTACTCCGTACTAATACCAACCAATGGTCACTACTCCGTACTCATCCCAACCAACGGTCACTACTCCGTACTCATCCCAACCAACGGCCACTACTCCGTACTCATCCCAACCAATGGTCACTACTCCGTACTCATCCCAACCAATGATCACTACTCCGTACTCATCCCAACCAATGGCCACTACTCCGTACTCTTACTACTTGACCTCTCTGCGGCTTTTGATACGGTTGACCATCCCCTCCTCCTCAAAAAACACCACTCTCTTGGTCTCAGAGACTCTGCTCTCTTCTGGTTCTCCTCCTACCTATCGCAGCGCTCCTTCAGTGGTACCTATAATGCTGCCTCCTCCTCTTTACTCCCTCTTTCTGTAGGGGTCCCTCAAGGTTCTGTCCTTGGACCCCTTCTCTTCTCCATCTACACCTCCTCCCTTGGTCACTTGATAAACTCCCTTGGCTTTAAGTACCATCTCTATGCTGATGACACACAAATCTATCTTTCTACCCCTCACCTCACCCCTTCAGTCTCCTCCTAACCTCACCAGTTCAGTCTCCTCCACACCTTGCCCCTTCAGTCTCCTCTCGCATTACTAACCTACTAAGAGACATATCGGCATGGATGTCACTCCACTTCCTCAAACTCAATCTTTCCAAAACTGAGCTCTTAGTATTCCCCCCAGCCCGTGCCCCCTCCCCTGACTTCTCCATCAAGACCAATAATACAACCATCAGTCCCTCCCCTCATGCCAGGGTGCTAGGTGTAATCCTAGATTCCCATCTGTCCTTTCAGCCCCAAATCCAATCACTGTCCAAATCTTGCAGACTTCAGCTCCGCAACATCTCCAAGATACGCCCGTTCCTAACCACAGAACCACTAAGCAACTTATTCACTCCCTTGTTATATCTCGCCTTGACTATTGTAACTCCCTCCTCATTGGCCTACCTCATCGCAGGCTATCCCCCCTCCAGTCTATCATGAATGCTGCTGCCAAACTCATCCACCTTACTAACCGTTCTGTATCTGCCACCCCTCTCTGCCAATCCCTCCACTGGCCTCCACTCAGTGTCCTCCACCCCTCTCTGCCAATCCCTCCACTGGCCTCCACTCAGTGTCCTCCACCCCTCTCTGCCAATCCCTCCACTGGCCTCCACTCAGTGTCCTCCACCCCTCTCTGCCAATCCCTCCACTGGCCTCCACTCAGTGTCCTCCAGCTCCTCTCTGCCAATCCCTCCACTGACCTCCACTCAGTGTCCTCCACCCCTCTCTGCCAATGCCTCCACTGGCCTCCACTCAGTGTCTTCCACCCCCCTCTGCCAATCCCTCCACTGGCCTCCATTCAGTGTCCTCCACCCCTCTCTGCCAATCCCTCCACTGGCCTCCATTCAGTGTCCTCCACCCCCCTCTGCCAATCCCTCCACTGGCCTCCATTCAGTGTCCTCCACCCCTCTCTGCCAATCCCTCCACTGTCTTCCCATTGCCCAACGGATAAAATTCAAAACATTAACAATAACGTATAAAGCCATTTATAACTCAAAAGCCCCAAATTACATCAATGATCTTATCTCTAAATATCACCCAAACTGTACTCTCCGCTCCTCGAAAGACCTCCTGCTCTCTAGCTCCCTTGTCTCCTCCTCCCATGCTCGTCTCCAGGACTTTTCCAGAGCTTCCCCCATCCTCTGGAACTCTCTACCCCAATTTATCAGGCTATCGCCTACTCTGCTCACTTTTAGGCGATCTCTGAAAACCCATCTCTTCAGGGAAGCCTATCCTGCCCTCAGCTAATAATGGAATCTTCTTCTCTTCCAACCTGTCCATCCCCCACAGTTACTACCTTTTGTACCACCAGCCCCTCCCTCCTAGATTGTAAGCTCCAAGGAGCAGGGCCCTCCTTTCCCTCTTGTATTGAACTGTATTGTTGCTGTATTGTTTCCCGTTATATTGTAAGGTGCTGAGCAAACTGTTGGCGCCATAAATCCTGTATAATAATAACAATAATAATAATAAATAATCCAGTGCCATGACTGCTCCCCAGGTCTCCTGTCTCAGGGTGTCTCCCTTCTCTTGCAGCATCCTCTGGAGTCCTTCTTGTATGCAGGAACTAGAGTTGTATCTGCTACGCTGTGTGCAGCAATCTGCCCAAATCGAGCGACAGAAGTAGCTTCAAAACATTTTTGAGCTTCAAGCGTTTAGGAGATATAAACCATGACCATAGAGAATAATTGTGCTTGAGCTGCATTTTTAACATCCCTCATCCACTCCTCCTGTTGCTGATGAGGTAGTGGCTGGGGGGTGTACACATGCTTCGTGGAATTATACCCCTTGTCAGTAATGTCCACAGAGGACAAACAGGTCAGGTCAATGGGGGCCATCCTTCAGCCGCATCACAACCATACACAACACTCATCGTTGCAGCTCAGTTGTCTGGTAATTATGGGGTTAAAACCAAAATTGCTGTCAGAAGAGCGATCCGCACATGGAGTTTAAAGGAAGTCTAACTGTTAGCAGGACCCAGCCTTGGACTTCTCTCTGCAGAAGGACCTGTACACCAAAACCCACCATAACTGACCTCTCAGAACTGACATCTAATCTCAACTGCTGATGGAGAACTGCACTGGATGTTCAAAAAGAATGATGTCACCTTTCCTGATTGTGGTAATTAAATATTCCTCTTTTTTCCTGCCAGCCGCTGACCCACTTTCATTGCACGTAGGGGGGCGATGCAGGTCCTGAATCAGCGGCATACAGATGGTCAAAAGACTGGGGGTAGCAGGGGGGGAGGGGCAGAGCCAGGGGAAGCAGAAGACCTATCTCAGGGGTGGTAATTACTCAGAGTGATGAGGTAATTCATGGATGGAAGCCACGGAAGAGGAAGTCATGAGAAGGTATTTTTCCTCATCAGAAATGATCTGACATTATGAAGCTGAGAACTGGATGTGAGCTCCTGCAGGCAATGCTTAAAGGGAAACTACGCTCTGTTCTCATCAAACACACTGTTACTATTCGGGTCGCCTGAAAAGAATTTTTATTGTGGCTGTTCCATCATGTCCATGTCGTACTTTGATGAGCTTATTTCAGGATGGACTTGTTCTGAGCAGGAGGAGCAGTAAAGCACAATCAATAAGCAGGAAGCAGATCTGCATATGTAATGAGCAAATATGGCCAATAAGATACTATAAGGGGTCTATTTCTAAAAAACTTACATTGCCGTTTGCTCAGTGAAAGTTCATGTACATTCGTTCTGTGAAAATCGGGGCAAGAAAGATTGTTATTAGGCTAGTTCCTGCGCTGGGCAAATGTTTTCCGTTGGTTTCAAATTTAAAATACTTAATTCAGCTCCTAGATGGCGCCAAGTATCTGACTTCCATCTGTACCTCTTCCAGCTTCCAACCTTTCTTCACCTCCATGATTCCCAGTGCGTTGCAGCCACTCGTTACCAGCACCTGTATACCCCTAGTCTGCTTCCTGCTCTGTGCCCCCAGGCACTCCAGTCTGCTTCCTGCTCTGTGCCCCCAGGCACTCCAGTCTGCTTCCTGCTCTGTGCCCCCAGGCACTCCAGTCTGCTTCTCGTAATCTCGTGTGACTCCAGGCACTCCAGTCTGCTTCTCGTAATCTTGTGTGACTCCAGGCACTCCAGTCTGCTTCTCGTAATCTTGTGTGACACCAGGCACTCCAGTCTGCTTCTCGTAATCTTGTGTGACTCCAGGCACTCCAGTCTGCTTCTCGTAATCTTGTGTGACTCCAGGCACTCCAGTCTGCTTCTCCTAATCTTGTGTGACTCCAGGCACTCCAGTCTGCTTCTCGTAATCTTGTGTGACTCCAGGCACTCCAGTATGCTTCTCGTAATCTTGTGTGACTCCAGGCACTCCAGTCTGCTTCTCCTAATCTTGTGTGACTCCAGGCACTCCAGTCTGCTTCTCGTAATCTTGTGTGACACCAGGCACTCCAGTCTGCTTCTCGTAATCTTGTGTGACTCCAGGCACTCCAGTCTGCTTCTCCTAATCTTGTGTGACTCCAGGCACTCCAGTCTGCTTCTCGTAATCTTGTGTGACTCCAGGCACTCCAGTATGCTTCTCGTAATCTTGTGTGACTCCAGGCACTCCAGTCTGCTTCTCCTAATCTTGTGTGACTCCAGGCACTCCAGTCTGCTTCCTGCTCTGTGCCCCCAGGCACTCCAGTCTGCTTCCTGCTCTGTGCCCCCAGGCACTCCAGTCTGCTTCTCGTAATCTTGTGTGACTCCAGGCACTCCAGTCTGCTTCTCGTAATCTTGTGTGACACCAGGCACTCCAGTCTGCTTCTCGTAATCTTGTGTGACTCCAGGCACTCCAGTCTGCTTCTCGTAATCTTGTGTGACTCCAGGCACTCCAGTCTGCTTCTTGTAATCTTGTGTGACTCCAGGCATTCCAGTCTGCTTCTTGTAATCTTGTGTGACTCCAGGCACTCCAGTCTGCTTCTCGTAATCTTGTGTGACTCCAGGCATTCCAGTCTGCTTCTCGTAATCTTGTGTGACTCCAGGCACTCCAGTCTGCTTCTCGTAATCTTGTGTGACTCCAGGCACTCCAGTCTGCTTCTCGTAATCTTGTGTGACTCCAGGCACTCCAGTCTGCTTCTCGTAATCTTGTGTGACTCCAGGCACTCCAGTCTGCTTCTTGTAATCTTGTGTGACTCCAGGCACTCCAGTCTGCTTCTCGTAATCTTGTGTGACTCCAGGCATTCCAGTCTGCTTCTCGTAATCTTGTGTGACTCCAGGCACTCCAGTCTGCTTCTCGTAATCTTGTGTGACTCCAGGCACTCCAGTCTGCTTCTCGTAATCTTGTGTGACTCCAGGCACTCCAGTCTGCTTCTCGTAATCTTGTGTGACTCCAGGCACTCCAGTCTGCTTCTTGTAATCTTGTGTGACTCCAGGCACTCCAGTCTGCTTCTTGTAATCTTGTGTGACTCCAGGCACTCCAGTCTGCTTCTCGTAATCTTGTGTGACTCCAGGCATTCCATTCTGCTTCTTGTAATCTTGTGTGACTCCAGGCACTCCAGTCTGCTTCTCGTAATCTTGTGTGACTCCAGGCACTCCAGTCTGCTTCTTGTAATCTTGTGTGACTCCAGGCACTCCAGTCTGCTTCTCGTAATCTTGTGTGACTCTAGGCACTCCAGTCTGCTTCTTGTAATCTTGTGTGACTCCAGGCACTCCAGTCTGCTTCTCGTAATCTTGTGTGACTCCAGACACTCCAGTCTGCTTCTCGTAATCTTGTGTGACTCTAGGCACTCCAGTCTGCTTCTTGTAATCTTGTGTGACTCCAGGCACTCCAGTCTGCTTCTTGTAATCTTGTGTGACTCCAGGCACTCCAGTCTGCTTCTCGTAATCTTGTGTGACTCCAGGCACTCCTACCCACAACTAGTGCCTCTGCGTGTTTCTGTGCACTTCTGCCAACTCTGGCTTTACTACCTACAGACTTTTGATCCCAACATCTCAGGCAAGGTCTTTCACTTGCACATGATCAGGAGTTGGCAGCTCTTGTGAGAGTTGCAACCTGGGAGTCTTCTACAGCAAAACCCATCCTCACCTTCGGGCATTTTGGAGAAGACAAGGTGGCTTCTTGGACTTTGTGTTTTGGCCCTTTTAAGGGCTCTCACCTCAGATGTACATGCTGGTGAGCTGGGCTTTAGCACTGGTGCCAATAAGTATCCTGCCTATCCAGGACTCCTCGTAGCTCTCCTCCGCTGCCAATGCCAATGCCTAGACCAGTGTTTCTTAACCTTTTTTCAGTCAAGGTATCCTTAAAAATTTAATGACAGTCCCGAGGCACCCTTTAAAATTATGAACAGTCTTGAGGCATCCTATTCTAAAATGGGGTGCCTCAAGACTCCAGAATGTTAAAAGGCCACCCCATTCTAAATGTGAAAAGTTTTATATAACGCAGCAACATCCACACATGTAGGACACCTAATATTAGAGGCGATTTATTCTTCCAAAGCCAATACACTTTTGGACACTGGTACTCACTAGTATTCCAGCGCTTCTCTTCTCCCTCAGTTTATCTCCATCACTGAGCTAATGTGACCTCCGCACTGATGAAGAGGGGCGGGGGAGGGTCAAACTAGGATGCTGTACAGGCAGCTGACCTCCTCCTTATCAACTTATGATGTCATTGGTTGTCAGGACGCAGGCAGCTAGAAGGTCGTAGTGGTGCATAATTAAAACTCGTGGATTTGTGTAACTAAAAGGCTGGCTTGTATACAAGTTTTGAGCAATTTTTAGACATTTTGCCAAGGCACCCCTGAAGAAACCTCAAGGCACCCCGCTGCCCCAACTAACATCTGGTTAGCCAGTCTGCCCCCTAGTGGGAGTAAACTCCCATGACACTTGTGACAAGAACACCCATTTCACCACATGGTGGATTTCAGTATGGTGAGCAAAAGGAATATTCACCATTTTTGAGCATGGTTACAATTCAACCAT